GGTAAAAGAGATATGATGTCAAGGAGTCCAGGAAGGAAAAGAATGTGAAACTGATTGTGGTAGCAATTGTATAATACTGCTTGATGTGATTGAACTATAGAATAATATGATACATGTATTAACTCCCAATTTAAAAAAAGACAAAGAGGAAGACAGTGTAGAACTGTCCCTGTGAGTATCTGAGACTATCGTTCTTTATTGGAATAGAAAGCCTGTTTCTCAGAGTGGCTGGTGATTTCGAACTGCTGACCTTGCCGGTTTGCAGCCTGAGGTATAACCACTGTGCCATCAGGGCTAAAACAAACAAACAAACAAATAAACAGAAGAAGGAGGCAAGACAAAGCAGAAAAAATATTGTGCTCAGAACATGAATAAGAAAGTACACATAAACTAGCATTTCCTTTTGCTCCATGATCAAGGAGGCCCCAAAGAGAACTTAAAGTTGCTGTGTTGTTCAGAACTTCCAGGCAGACGTTATATGAAGCCCCAAGTAGGAACTGCCTCTTACCTTCCACAAAACTGCCACCAGCGCCAAGAGCAGGAGGAGTCCCGCGATGACACTTCCTACGATAACTCCTGTCGGCACTTCAGCCTTCCCATCCGGCTTCATTATTGTGACAGGAATCTGTAAGGGCATAGTCACAATGAGGTCTTCTCATTTTAGCACTGGAACAAAAGGTGGGACGACCAACTCCAATTCTCTAACATTACAGCCGAAGGTCCCCACTCCACAAAGGTGACATGATGGGCACATTGGTCATGTACACTTGTCAAGAGAAAATGCTCCTGCAAAGTCCAGGTGAGAGAGGCACTTCTCTGGTTCTCTCCTTCATTGTTTCAGGATTGAACGGCCGGGTCTCGGCGGCCATCTCAGGTGTGTTCAGTATTGAGGAATGAGGTGCCTTGGTTTGGGCCTGCATCCCCTTGGAGTGAAACCATTTAGAGAACAGCCTTGGGGGAGAGGCAAAGAACAAGCCTAACTGAATCCCGAGCCCCATGTGATTAAACAGCAACGACAACAAACTCTGTGCCATCTTGGGTTTCAAAAAGATCGACTTCACTGAACTCTCATGAAAAGTTACTTGATACCAATTGTTGGAAAAGAGAATTGATAATCTAGGACTCTCGTTGCCCTTTTTTGATGTTAAAGCTGGCCTGGAGATTACAGATGCTTTACTATTTCTAATCCTGGAAATACTGGGACATGGCATCGCAATGCGTGCCCTACAGTGTGCCACGACGGCGTTATAATGTTATCATTTAAAGTGTGGAAATAATCTCAACCATTTTCTCCATGAGCTATGTGCTTCAGGAGGCACTCAGGAACAAAAGTAAAGGATTAGCCTTGATTTAATGTTGAATTCTAACAACAGAAGAGTTGCTTTATGTGGGTTGGGCTAAACTTGAAGTCGGCCTTTTCAGTAACTGCATGGCTTCTCATTTGTATCTTCAAGAACTGAAATAAGGATTTATCAGTGCTTGAGTGAAGTGACCAGCGATTCATGTAGTGCTCTGTCTAGTGGCAGTCAGGGCCTTACTCCGCTCCACGGCGAACTGGGGTTCATGGATCCCAATGAATAAGGACAATATTTTGCCTATCAGATTTTTAAGTGGCTCAGGAATGCCCCCCCAAAAGTAAGAACCACTTTCCAACCATAGATATATGTCAATTTATATTTACATTCAAAATATGATTTAAAAATGATTCCAATTACTATTAGGATTAAAAAGTTATTTTCATAGACACAACTAACAGTTGCCCTCTGGAACAATCAGTATTGCTCAGAGAAAACAAATCCTATAGAAGATTCATTAAAAACATTCCTATGAATTTTCAATCAATACAGTTATCTAATACTGCTTTATGAAAAATAAAGACTTCAGGAGAGTTTCAGGTATGTCTATATATATTTTTTTGGGGGGAGTAAATTACTTTATTTATTTGTGTGTGTGTGTTATCTGTGTAATTCTTTAAATTTTTTTCAGGTAATTTTTGAATCGTATTTTTTTCTACAATGAACTTTTAAATATAGATAAAATAAAAGAACTTTATTCATGGACCAAGACATAGCTCTTTGTTTCTGAAATCCACATTTTCCTTGGGTTCCATTTCTGATTTTCCAACCCCAGTGGCTGAGGAGAGGGTGTAGGGCTCCCCAAGGCTCCTAAACATTAAGAAAAAGCATTCTCTAGTGTGTTGGTTCCCTTCCCTGGGACAAGAGTCCGACAGCAGTGCCATGCACTCAGCCATTGAGAGAGGCCCGGGGTTCAGAGGCCACTGGCTCTTCAATGGAGCCTGCAGGCTGGAGTGGAGGACTGGGGCTGGCTGCCAAGCTGACCTTGGGGGCAGAGATGGGAACTGCCTCCAATTCCTGACAAAAGCACTGGATGGAAAACGTTCATCGCTCTGCCAACAGATTAGCTGGGCATGGAAATCCTGCTTTATCTAAACATGGCCTATTCTAACCAGAGTTTTCGTGCTCAGGAACGTTGCACCATGCCAACTTGGGGAACAGAGAGCCTTTGTTTTCGGTGAAAGTATATTTCTCTTCAAAAACCTCTTTATCAAGGGGAGCATTTATAGTTTTCCAGAATGTAAGACCTAATTGATGGGCATTTTAGGCCATCAGTGAATGGCTGTAAGAAGGACTGCTAAAAATAAAATAAATAAAAAAGAATCTTTCTAATAACTGCCTTATTTACTAAAGATGTTTCAGCCCTACTCTCTGAAAAACAACAACATAAACACTCTAAAACATGGTAATATGTTAAGTTATATGGTTAAGTAAGATAAATTAAATGATGTCCCAAATTATTATGTCTCATAATTTAGCTTGAATGTACTGTACTCGCATCTAAGGTGTTTTATGTAAGCAAAGGAGAAAAGAAGAACTGAACCTGCTGGTTTAAGAACCACTATGGAGCTACAGAAAAGTTGGAGCCCCTAGTGTTCCACCTTTCATGAATTCCTTATCTCTTGGGAAACAGTGTTTCCAACATAGGCAAGGGGAAGGGCAAGTACATCACTGCGTTTTGTTGAGTAGCAAACACGCTTCCCCAAAGCTCAGTGTGACTAATGCCAGGTTCTCAGCCTTTTGTTCAAACACTACTACAGAAGTGAAGGCAAGAAGACAGACTTGAGTTTGCCGAAACAGACTCCCAATCATGAACTCTTAAACCCATGAGGAGGCGTGTGATGCACTCACTGTTACGCTGTTTTCTTCAATCACATAGAGCTGAGGGTTGTAGGTGTCAATTTCGGCAGAGGCCGTCAGCTGTATTGTCTGGAAAGTAGACTAGAACATAAGAACAGAATTTACATTTTATCTTAACAGAAGTTCACACGTAATACCAGGCACGTTTATGATCTGTTGATTTTCTTGTGGAAAATGACAAACACAAGCAGCAACTCCGAAGACTCAAGAATCCCGAGTTGCTCCTACTAGTGATAGACCACTGGGCTCCATACGAGAAATAGCCAGGAAACTTTGAAATATACTAGGGTGACTGTCCCCTGCAATGGATAATTAAATCCAAATGGCCAGGCAGTGGGGCCCTGGCATTAACACTTAACACAGCCCCCTTAGTGATTCTAATTCAGAAACAAGGCTGGAGAGTAAGGGTTTAAAACCCATGTTTGTAATTGGAATAGGGCCTAGGCTGGAAAGCCAGTCCTCTCCCACCCGACTGAGCTTTCGCGGAAGCAGGAGGACCTGCTGTGACGATTGGACATCTTTGGTGTCTGGGTCTGGGCCCTTCATCTGACTCACCCCTGCCTGACGTCAGATTGTGGACTAAACAGCACCCACGGCCACATGAACTATTTCGTCAGACTTTCTGTGGGTCACTGCAGCGATGTGCAGAACCCAGGGACACGAGGGGATGTCCTCAAGGGAGGAGTTCAGGGGAAATGGAGCTGAATTGCATCTTGGAAGAGTGGGGCATCTGGGACACCATTAATCTCCACCTTCCAGGGGCGCGTCTGAAATGAATTCTTCTAAAGGAAATGATTACCACAATACGTGTCAAGGCTGGAGCAAGATGGTGGCAGAAGCAGCAACATGCTCTCATGCCTCTCACACACAAGACCGAAACTGGAAGACTCAATCAATCTAGCATCACTCAGGGAACAAAGCAAAAGCTAAATCAAGATAAAAGCATTACATAAAAAGAAAATCTTCACAAGCCCTTTGCTGAGGAGCTTTTTAAACTGCCTAGCAGCTGTTGGACGGATTGAAGCAATGTGTTCATGCCAGTTCTGTCAGTTTTCTCAGTCTTGCAGCTCATCCAGAGCTCAGGATTATGAACCCAGACCTCGGACTGTAATGTCGTCACCTAGACCTGTAAATGTGGTCGTCACCTGGGGCATGTCCTAAAGGCATACAAAATACCGGAAAGAGGCCAGAGAATGTCTTCAGAAACTTAAGGCTTTACAAGCCACTGTGTCTAAAGGAGGAGCCCTCCTGGTATAGCAGTTATGCATTGGGCTGCTAACCCTGAGGTTAGCAGTTCAAAACCATCTGCTGCTCCTCAGGAGAAAGATGAGGCTTTCTAATTCCATAAAGGGTTGCAGTCTCAGAAACCCACAGGGTCAGTTCCACCCTGTCCTACAGGGATTCCATGTGTCAGAATGGCCTTGCAGGCAGTGAGTTTGGGCTTGTTTTAAAGTATCAAGGAGGGTTGAGGATAAAGGAGGGTTGAGGAAACTGCTTGCAACCTCAGGACAAGAAGAAACACATTTTTCAAATTCACCGACGTTGAGTCGTCAGAATATAAGTGAACCTCAGTGGTATATTAGGCACAGTTGGGCAGTGAAACACAAGATTAGCAGTTTAAACCCAACAACTGCTTCACGGAAGAAAAGGGCAGCTTACTACTCCCGTAAAGAGTTAGTTGCTGTGAATTGGCATCAACTCCATAGCGTGAGAGTCAAGCAAAACTGTTGCTGTGTATTTCCTAGACTTTTTTTTTTTTTAAACAGGAGTGGAAAACCCTGTCTTTCTCTTGCAGAGTGGCTGGTGATTTTGAATTGCTGATCCTGTGAACTGCAGGCCAACACGAACTCACTCGTGCCCAGAAATTCCCCGAGAAGACCTTAAGCTTTTTACTGTAGGATAATCCCTATACTGAACGTCCATTGGACTAAGGAATGAATGATGGCCGTGACATTGAACAAGTATGAAAGGAAGGAGTTTTTTCTTTTACAGTTATTTTGTTTTTGCGTTTCTCTCTTGGTATTCAAGAAAATCTCTGTCAAAACACTAGCTGAATATTAAAACGTTCTCAGTGTCCACACAGCTTTAGTCAAGTCATCTCTGCAGTCATAGGGAAAGTCAGTAAACTAATGCATGACTATACAAAGCAAAGCAAACAATCCTGCCCCAAACAAATTATATATATCCTGCAAACCTTGGGGGAGGGGAAGAATCTGATTTACAGTTACCACATTACAAGTCAAATAGTCAATTAAAAACAAAAAGGCATATAAAGAAACAGGAAAGGATAGTCTATTTAAGATAATAAAATTAAGTGTTCCAAAGTGTTGAGTTCAGTTCAGGGCAGCTTCCCTGTTCTGTTAATTAAACTTTGGGACATTAAAACAGGCTTGGGAAAGTGACTGGGTAGAAAATATTATTCTATTCACTTTGTTCCCAGCCTACATTTAAAAAAATAAATAAATAAAATTAAGTGACCAAAACTGTCTCTGAGGAAGCACTGAGGCTCACGAAACAAAGAGTATTAAATATTAAATATTCTCAAAGGGCTAAAATAAATAAAGATGAGGGGAAAGACTAAATGAAATTCGCATAAGGACAAAAATGAGAACACAAACAAAGAGACTGAAATTTTTAAAAGAACTATTGTTTAAAAAGAATACTGTTGCTGAGAAGGACGACTGAAGAACAAAATCACTACAGGTGTTCAGCAACAGGTGTGAGCTGCCGGAAGAAAGAATCAGTGTGGGCAAGTGTCATGACAGGACAGGTGAATTATCAAGCACAAGGAAATGTTTTCAGAAACAAAGAAAAGCAAACGGATCCAATAGGCACATTAACGTATTCATGCTAGGAGTCCCAGAAAAGGAAGAGAGAGAAAAAGGAACAATAGACATTTGAAGAAATAATAGCTAAAACTGCACAAATCTGATGAGAGACAAGAATCTATAGTACTAAATAGCCAAATGACCTCTATAGAGGAAAAACTAAAAAAAATTCATATCAAGAAAATTATAATAAAACTCTTGAAAACTAAAGATAAAGAAACTCCTGAAAACAGTCACATAGCAAAGGGTTCCTAGTAATGGAGCAAAGAATAGTCTCTAATAAATGGTGCTGTGACCACTGTATTTCCACATGCAAAGAATAAATTTGAATCATATCTCATACCATATATAAAAACTAACTCAAAATTGGCTGTGATCTAAGTATAAGAATTAAAATTCGATCTTGCAAGTCTGGCTAGACCAGAGGA